ATTCACATGTAATCCATATATATCCACACATAATCCATATACATCCACATAATCCACACATAATCCACACATAATCCACATATAATTCACACATAGTCCTTGGCCACACACTTTGGTAGCGATCACCTCCACACACGAGATCTGTTTACCTTCAACACAGATAGATCCAACTTAATCCATTTCTGGAAACATTTTCTGGGAAGTGCAAGAAAAGATAATCCAAGGATCCGGGCCCAGATCACAAATCCTCTCCCCTGTAAATACTCCTTAGGGGCCGAGGAAAAGAAAATGACACAAAATGTCCCAGAGCCATTGAGTAGCTAGTCCTCCGACACTGAGAGCCACACGGACCTCCAGTCCAATATACTTAGTCATATTGAAATATCCACATAGGCATAATCAATCATGTAAGGAAATCCAGTATAATTTACTAGGTAAAATTAATTATATATATATATAATATATCCACAGGCTTAATTAATGGTGAGTGTATCCAGTACTTGGAAATACAAAGTATCTGAATATCCACAGGAATATCCATCCATCCAGTACAGTATGGTTGGTAATATAATAGATATCCACGAGCGTACTGAACCCTGAGGGTATCCAGAACTTGGTCACACCTAGATATCCACAAGCATTATAAATAATCATGAAAGTATCTAGTTTGATAATATCCAAATCCAAGGGTCTGGTTAACTGGTGGGGTATCCAGTACTTGGGGATATCCAAATATCCAAATTCAAAGGTCTGGCTATTCAGCATCAGGTGACACAACAAGTCCTTCTAGACGGAGCTGTGTCCTAGAACTGGGTCACAACAAGTGGGTCAGGGGTCACAACAGGTCTGTGTGTGTGTGTGTGTGTGTGTGTGTGTGTGTGTGGGGGGGGGTGGGCGGCATAGGCATGTTCTCCCAGAACAGCTGTGAAAAACTGGCTCACATACTACCAGGCTTCACTGGGGTACATCCCATAAAGCGACATTACCAGGTCATACATATGTGACACAGTGACGCAAGTAGGTCATATGTGACACAGTGACGTAAGTAGGTCATATGAGACACTTGTGACACACCAATATGACGGCACACAACGTCCACTATGACGTCATTCAGTGACACACACACCACTATGACGTCACTCAGTGACACACACAACACTATGACGTCACACACCACGATGACGTCACACACCACGATGACGTCACAAACCACGATGACGTCACTCCGTGACACACAACACTACGACGTCACTCAGTGACACACACACAACACTATGACGTCACCAGCAGACAGACCCGAGACACTTGATACATTTTCTCTCCACTCGGTTATCGAACTCGGGCCTCCTGCGTGTGACAGCGAAGTGTCTAACCTCTACACCACAGACGCTGGGGCTGTCTCTGCGTTCACGCCAGGATCTGGATGACGACTGTGACAAATCCAGGGGCACGACGCCGGTTAGCGTCAGCGATGATGTCACACCGGAACGCCGGTTAGCGTCAGCGATGATGTCACACCGGAACGCCGGTTAGCGTCAGCGATGATGTCACACCGTCACTGCACATGTTTTCCCCACACAATTTCTTCCGATCATTTAGGAGGCAGGCTTCTGATCCTGCCTGTCAGGACCGACTTGGGCTGTGAGGGATACAACATCCCAGCGAAAAGACGAGACATGCTCGATGAAAAACTACTTCCGAACTCAGGATTTGAATTCACGTCTTCTGCATGTGACAGACGCGTGTTGGTGTGACAGACCTGTGACAGACGCGTGTTGGTGTGACAGACGACGTGTTGGTGTGACAGACGTGTGACAGACGTGACATGTTGGTGTGACAGACATGACATGTTGGTGTGATAGACGTGACGTGTTGGTGTGACAGACGTGTGACGTGTTGGTGTGACAGACATGACGTGTTGGTGTGACAGACGTGACGTGTTGGTGTGACAGACGTGTGACGTGTTGGTGTGACAGACATGACGTGTTGGTGTGACAGACGTAGGACAGACGTGACGTGTTGGTGTGACAGACATGACGTGTTGGTGTGACAGACGTAGGACAGACGTGACGTGTTGGTGTGACAGACATGACGTGTTGGTGTGACAGACGTA